GTAAAAAATAAGAACTAATACGACAGAAATTTATAGAAACAAGGATCTTTTCATTCATAACAGGTTCGGAGTTTTTTGTATATTATTTGAATTGTTTGCGATGATGGATTTCTCGCCAATTAAATCATTAACCTTTGCATTTGTTTTTGTATGAATAATTCATGAATTTGTAAATTGATTGCACGTTTATATATATATATATATATATATATATATATATATATATATATATATTCTGACAATTTAATTCTAGGAATGTCACAGCATGCCACTGGGTGAACATTGATATTCGAGCACTTTCGGACATGTAGTAACTTCCGATTTCTTGCGATGCAGATTAGCAGATGAGTCTCTCCGTTACCGAGCAGTAGAAGAAGTTGTATGTGTACTTGTTATCCTACTGGCAGAATATAAGTGTAATGTATCCGGTACAGCAGACTAGCATAAAGGTGTTCGTGTGAATTCCTAGTGAAAAACGGCTTATGTTGAACTATATTACGGGGAAATGGGATGCTTTTGAGTGACAGCGGCGGTCCAAGAAAGGGTGAGTAGATGTGTGTGGTGACGCACGTAGTGGTTACCAGACAAGAAACAGACGCAATGTTCCCTTAACACTTTATAGAATAAAGGGTTTCGAGGATCTGGTCAGAGGAAAGGACCTGGGCGCAATTAGATCGACGATCACGAGTGAGACTGAAAGAGGAATTGAACATGAATTGGGGAACCAATATAGCAGATTGTAACAGAAGATTTCCTCAGAGATGGTGCTTTGAATTATTACTGATGATCTTCGGCTTCGTGTTTCATCGATCGTTTTCAATAAAGCATAGTGGTGTGACGGGGTCACGAAACGTGGTGTTTTAAATACGAGAAAAAATGCCAGAATATTTTACCGAGGTCGAAAAGTAGAGGAGGTTTATTTTTTATTTTTTCTCAGAAAATCAACATTGCACTCAATCCAAAAGCTGGCGTTTGATGATATAAATACTAACGCCAAAATATAGATGTATCGCCTTTACCAACTTTTGAGCATTTAGTTTTAAATATCGCCTGAAAAAAAAAAAAAAAAAAAACACCGTACAGAAATACCTAATTTCGTCAGGTTTTGCTTACAAACTGAATTCAATATTTTGCTATTTCAAGAATAAATCCAAATTAAATTGATATTTTTTGTATTAGATACATTGAATGGAAAACATATTTTTTTTTCATATGCAATCTGTGAAGCTTCAGTAGTTAAATTAATTGTTCTTTCCACACTTTGCGAATGTGCAGCTAAGTTCTGTAAATATAAAATCGTTCAATTCATTATAACCTCTTGCAGTTCATTATTTGAAAAACCTTCGGCAGGCATAGGTTTGCAAATTCTATTTTGTGAGTGGTTAATCAAATTTGACCAGTGTGTCGCTTTAGAGTTGATAAATGTAATTTTTAAAAATCTCTTCTTTGGTGGCTCGCTACTTTTGAAACGAAAGAAATATTTTTATTGAAAGATTTACGCATTAAATCACAAAACTATATTTTGTGATGTAATTGGTATGTAATAAAAAAAACAGTCTTTGTTGCAACCTAGGGAAGGTTACTGAATAGAATAATCACACAAAGGTTGGTAATGTATAATAATACCTAGGACAAGGACAACACATATAAGATTCGCCAGTGGTGCGTAGACGAAGTAGTTAACTGCTAGAAGTGAGTCAAGTGAATTCCACAATGACTCTCCAACTGCAACTACCCGACACGGTCAGATGTGGCACAAGGCCGAATTTAATATGGGACAATCCGAGCAAATATATTTTATCGGCAAAAATTATATGTTTTAAAATATAAAACGGGGTCGGGTTGCTGTTTCCCGAGACGAGACGAGACTTTGCCCTTCGATATAGCTACGTCTGGGGATACTCTCTGCCCGGAGGCAGCGAGTTTGACCAGCAGAGCTGGAGACAAATCTCCAGCTGTAGGATATCTACCAACCGCCCCACGCGGTCACATGTGGGACAAGGCCGAATTTAATGTGGGGCAACCGTGCCCGTAGGTTCAGCCAAAAATACCCCGTAACATTGTAAAAAACGGGTCGGGTAGCTTTTTTTTATGAGACGAGACTCTGCCCTTCGACATAGACTCGTTTGGGGATGCTCCCCGCCCGGAGGCCGAGAGATTGACCAGCACAGCTGGTGACGAATCTCTAACTGCAGACCAACATACAGCATTTACTACTGTATTTACGTGAATGGTGACATACCCATTATTGTCTGGGGATCCTCTCTGCCCTGAGGCCGAGAGTTTGACTTAGCACAGCTGGGGACGAATCTCTAACTGCAGACCAACATACAGCATTTACTACTGTATTTACGTGAATGGTGACATACCCATTATTGTCTGGGGATCCTCTCTGCCCAGAGGCATTTTTTTTTGAAAATTAAGCTGGGACGAATCTGTAGGATATCTACCAACCGCCTCACGCGGTCAACATTTGGGCCAAGGCCGAATTTATTGTGGGGCAACCGTGCCCGAAGGTTCAAAAAAATTACTTGTAGATATGTAAATGAAACGGGGTCGGGTAAATTTTCGAGACGAAACTCTGCCTTTCGACATAGACTCGTTTGGGGAAAATTTCGCCCGGTCCAGGCCGACAAGTTTGACTAGCACAGCTGGGGATTAATCTCTAACTGCAGACCAACATACAGCATTTACTTACTGTTTTTACGTGAATGGTGACATACCCATTATCGTTTGGGGATCCTATCTGCCCAGAGGCAGAGAGTTTGACCAGCACAGCTGGGGACGAATCTCTAAGTACGAGGAAATGTTTACTTACAACTCTTTTAATAGCCTCTCCCTTCGCCTCGAACTCATCCGACTTCAACATTCAAATATTTATTTCAATATTTAGATTAATCGGGTATTGAACTCACACTCTTTTGGGTCCTGGCAGTGGAGAATTTTCAGAGGGAAAATGAACAGGAGATAACTGATAACTGACATCCATTATACATGGCACGTGGAACTAGAAAAGTCTACTACAGCGAGCGAAATAAAAGGTTCAGTTCGATATTCCAACCCCTGAAGAAGGACGGATCGTACAACGGCCGAAACGTTGTAATAAATATGGCGGCAGAGATGATGACAATAGTCCAAATAATGTAAATAATGTATATAATACTTCATCTCCGAAATATAGACACATTTATTTTCTATATGTTCAGGATGATACCCAGTACTGCGATATTTGACTAAGGTAGACCTGCCAGTATCCTTCAGTATCTATCTATCTATCTATCTATCTATCTATCTATCTCTTTCACAGTTCATATCTATCTATCTATCTATCTCTTTCTCTTTCGACATCTATCAATCTATCTTAGTCTATTCATATATCTCTCCCTTGCAATATCTATCTATCTATCTATCTATCTATCTATCTATCTATCTATCTATCTATCCCAGTCTATTCATATATCTCTTTCTCTTCCAACATCTATCTATCTATCTATCTATCTATCTTAGTCTATTCATATCTCTCTCTTTCCCTTGCAATATCTATCTATCTATCTATCTATCTATCTATCTATCTTGGTCTCTTCTTATCTATCTATCTATCTATCTATCTATCTATCTATCTATCTATCTATGCTCAGATTTTATTATGCAAGTCATTGATTTCTGAACAAAATCTGTATTGAACATCTGCTCTTGATAAATTCTAGAGGCTATAATTCTGTTTATATGAATAACATATCCCACGAATCTCAACATCTAGTATCTTACCCAATTAGTAACACTTGCTTTAGGGGTGTCGTGTTTTATTATAAAAACCAAGGGCAATAGCATTCATGGTTTTACTTATGATTAAATCCAAAAATATAGGACATAGAAATTATATTTGAATAACATAATGACCTATATTCTTTTTCCTCTATGTGCTGTGTCTGTTGAGAACATTGGCGATAATGGCTCTCCCTAAATTCCTCTCCTTTTTATCTCTCTGTCTTTTTGTTGTCTCTCCTAATCCCTGTTCTGTTATCCATCCACACAAGCTCGTTTTCCTCTGTCCCTCTTGCCTTCCATACGGGATTTATCTGAAAAGTAACTGGGATGAGTGTGCGGTGTGATCTATGGGCGAAAGAGGGATAAGGGGGTAGTGTTGTCATCTAACATGATATGTTGGGAGTATATAATTGTAATCTGAGCGTCTGCTTCGCTCAGTGCGCGAGAAGAGACGAGAGTTGTGCCAGGAAAAATTCGCGGCTGCTTCAGCACGACGAAGCATCTGCTCACAACGAACTATCTCCGTGTTAGATATTAGTTGGGAAAGACCTTTGGCCTTACTTCTACTGCATCAGTGTGTGAGCTGAAATCGGAACTGGCGATAGCATAAACCGGGAATGCATCCGGTGGCTAAAATGAGCCGGGTGCACAGGTGTATCCTGAGCCGAGAATAAACAGGGCGCACAGGTATCCTGAGCAGAAAGAAATGTGTGCTTACGTGGGCGCATGTCGGAAGAGGCGTAGCCACAAAAAGTTGCATAGGCGACATAACGTAAGAAGCTGTAGGTGTTCAAATGTTATTTAACCAGTCCGATTCTTGATCTGGACAGAGATGCTGATTAGAGGTTCACCAAAGATTTGTCTCTGTCAAATCCTGTGTGTGCAATCCTAACCTCTTTTGTTCTCACGCATTCTACCCATTCGCCGCAACTGAAACAATAAAGATATTTACATATTTTTGTATATGTGTTTGTCACCTTAATTGTGACTAGCAGCAATATACAACACCTATTCACCTGATCATGCTCCATGTGACTTTTTCCTTTTCCCGAAGCTCAAGTGAATTATCAAAGGAACCAATTTTGAAGGCACGAAATGGGCCTGATGATTGTGTTTAGCATAAAACAGTCTCTAGCTTGTAAGTGTTGACTTCAATATTCAGTTATATATATATATGGCCTGACGATTGCGTCTAGCGTGAAACAGCCTGTCGCCTCTAAGTGTTGACTTTAATGTTCACTTTTCCCTTTCAACATCTATCTATCTATCTATCTATCTATCTATCTATCTATGTAGAACATGTAGCAAGATCATGTTTCACGCTCTATCTCTGATATTGAGCACTTTATCCCATAAATATAGCATACCTTAAGAGTATATATATATATATATATATATACATATATATAATTATCTATTCGAAAATTATAACATAAATATGTTATAAAATCACTACAAAAGTAGCCATTTTGTTTCAACACTTCAGTGTCTTATCAAGTGATGGTGTTGAATGTAGAATAAAAGGTTTGAAAAGCTTCAAATTAAACAGACACCCCTTGCTAGGGAAAACGCTGTTACGTAAGCTGGAATGACCAATCAAAATACAAGTATATGTGAATTCAAAAAAAAAAAATTGACAACGGACTAAGGTTATAATAATTATTTAATGCTTTAATGTTGGGGTTAGACTAAAATAGAATTTATTCTAATAAGTATTATACGATAAAATTTGAAATTAAAATTAAGAAGAAGAAAAAGAAAAAAGATTACAATGCAGCTTACTTAAAAAGAATTAATATACGATAATCTACTTGAGATATTAGCTGTTATATCTCATGAGCTGCTCTATGATAATCTAATCTTTGCGTTCACTGCTTTTATCGCCATCTATGAATTGCTTTGAATCCAAACTTTTTAAGATAAATACTATTTAGGATTGCATTTAGACTAAAACTAAGAGTCCAAACGCTTATTTACTACTGACATTTTCTTTTCTCAACAGGAGTAGATAGGTTTCGCTTACCGCCCGGTTCATGTTCCTCTCTGGTATTTTGGACAGGAGTAGAGGTTTATACCTTGTTTCTTTTTAAGACTGGGTTTCAGGTTACTCTTAAGTCTTCTTCAACTTTATACTTCTAACGTCTCCGCCAAAACTCTGAAATTTTATTCACTATTTATTTAGTTTTTTGCTCAATAGGGGGAAACAGATTCATCTGTCGTCCGGTTCACACTCCTCTCCCGTCTTTTGAACAAGAGTAGAGGTTTATCCTTTGTTTCCTTTTAAGACTGGGTTTCAGGTTCCTTCTAAAGTCTTTTTCAACTCTATACTTCCGACGTCTCAACCTAAACTCTGAAATTTTATTTACAATATAATTATTTTTTTGCTCAATAGTGGGATACACGTTTGCCTGTAGTCCGTTTGACACTTCTCCTTTTGAACAAGGGTAGAAGTTTATCCCTTGTTTCTTTTTAAGATTGGTTTTCATGTTCCTTCCAAATTCGTCTCCTTATGTAATACTCTGCCTGTAGTGGTTTTTGGGCCTTGTACAGGGTGAATATCATAGCCAAAAGCAATAACTATTTTTTTTTATATAGATCGTCAACAGGTAAAGAAATGAAGGAATTTCACGCGAGATATCTCGTCTAGTTTTTTTATGTCCCGAGCAAGAGAAAGGTCTTGTACAGAAAATGGTAAATGCTTAACTTGTCTGTTTCCGGAGCTTTGGATCAGTAACAAAGCAGCCACGTACGTACAAGTTCAACCAATTGGTGTTCATTTTTCTTTTCTTATTCTTTCTTTACTTATTCTTTGTTAGAAAAGAAAAAAAAAGATGCCTGTAATATAGAAAACCCCTTGGAAAAAGCCAATTCTTCTATGTCGTGTATTGTTCTCGTTAAGTTCTTGCTACGCTGGTCGACGACAACTGCACCAGCTCGGGTCACTGTACTATGAATGTAATTTATTTTACAATGGCGTGGAGATTTTGCGACAGTTGGTGTGGAATTGTCAATAAAAGAGCGTAAAATCGAACAATACTGCAAAAGAGAAGCAAGCAATAATAGATTCTTTTACTGGTAATGGTTTATCCTAATGACATGCATGGGTATTAGTAGGTATTCAAGCATTCATAGTGATGGAATTTATATATATATATATATATATATATATATAATACATTGAGTGCTAGTGGTAATAGAATAGTGATCGATGTATAATAACAGCTGAAATGTATGTTGATAATAATAATAATATATATATATATATATAAACAAATATATATATATAAATAATATATATATAATATATATATATATATATAAACAAATATATATATATATATAAATAATATATATATATAATATATATATATATATAGAGAGAGAGAGAGAGAAAGAGGGAGATAGATAGATAGATAGATAGATAGATAGATAGATAGATAGATAGATAGATAGATATTTTTCCTCACTGGGAGCGCAACCTTGAAGCAATCATCATGTGGTAAGGGAAAACTACACACACATCTATATGTGTGTGTGTGCGATTATGTAAGTATTTGCATATTTGTCTATTAAGCATTTCAAGGACAGAAACTATGATCTGCAATTAGAATGAAAAGAAGTAACCGTGACACCACCTCCCCTGTCTTCACCATAAAAATTTCGAATGTGGAATTAATAAAGTCTAAACACTTCTTATACCTGAATGTATGGAAAGGTAATAATAAATTTAGTAAATAATATATTTAGTAAATTTTTGTATGTATGGACAGTTAATAATAAATTTATGGAGGCATGGACAGGTAATAATAAATTTATGGAGGTATGAACAGGTAATAATAAATTTATGGAGGTATGGAAAGGTAATAATAAATTTATGGAGGTATGGACAGTTAATGATACATTTATGGATTTATGGACAGGTAATAATAAATTTATGGATGTATGGACAGGTAATAATAAATTTATGGATGTATGGAAAGGTAATAATAAATTTATGGAGGTATAGACAGTTAATGATACATTTATGGATTTATGGACAGGTAATAATAAATTTATGGAGGTATGGATAGGTAATAATAAATTTATGGATGTATGGACAGTTAACAATAAATTTATGGAGGTATGGACAGGTAATAATAAATTTATGGATTTATGGACAGATAATAATAAATTTATGTATTTATGGTCAGGTGATAATAAATTTATGGAGGTATGGAAAGGTAATAATAAATTTATGGATGTATGGACAGTTAATAATAAATTTATGTATGTATGGACAGGTAATAATAAATTTATGGAGGTATGGACAGGTAATAATAAATTTATGTATGTATGGGCAGTTAATAAAAAATTTATGGAGGTATGGACAGGTAATAATAAATTTATGGAGGTATGGACAGGTAATAAATTTATGGAAGCCAGAGTATGAATGTTGGTATCATTACTGTTCCAACATGCCTCGGTGACAAAGAAGTAGCGAACCAGACTCGATATAGCGCCGCTCACTCACATATTACAAGTTCCTTTACCGATACTATCACCAAGCCGTTCTCACCAGAGCATTAGAAGCCGGTTCAAGTAATGATATACAAGTGATAGAAATTATTAGGAGGATTTGATAATTTTGGTCATGTAATTCATCGAGTCTAGAACAATTGGTATGACGTTTGCGTGGCAACGTAACTGTCAGGGTTTCAATTCTCGTTAGTGGGTGGTGTTTATCAATCCACCCACGGGGATCGAATGTGGCACAAGGCCTTTTTAATGTGGGTATGTCTGAGCCCGTAGGCCCAGCCAAAAATAAAACCCATCTAAACCCGTCCAAGCGGGCTAGTTCCGTCAACCTCCCCCAACGAAACCCCACCCTTCGGCAGAGCTTCGTCCGGGTTCCTCTCTGCAAGCAAAGAGTTCGACAGACACCCGACCCGGCAGCTCACAGATACTACACTTTGATCCTATCCACCGGGCCGAGCGGGTATTCTTTTTTTCTGTTTCGATGCATTATGTGCGTCTTGACTGGTGAGAACTAAAAATGATTATGGACAATTTTATTTAAAAAAAAAGCCGCTTATGTTTCATTCATTTATACGCAAATACTCTTGGGAAAGCTATGAAATTGTCTCTTCTACAGATATATGGATTAATTAGTCGTACTCGCATCTGGAAATATTATTGTGAGTTTCGAAAAATAATAACGTAATATTAACTGGCAAACACTGTTTCGGCTTAAATACCCTCATAAGTTTGACAAGCCATGAAAAACAAATCCCAAATCTCAATAATGTTTTCTCAGTTTTCTACTTGCTTGTACTGTAAAGATATAACGTATTTCTTGCTTTTTGTGTAGCGTAATGATATGCATGTATTTCTTGCATTCTGTGTTGTAATGATATTCACGTATTTCTTGCTTTTTTTACCGTAATGATATTTATTAATCCATCGAAACGATTAGAATTTTCACATAAAAGATGCTAACCTAATCAAAGGAAAATATAATTCACTACGACGTAAATGCCTAAATAGTGCATTCATTGCAATGTCATCAAAAGTAGATTTGCGACCTGGGTCTTATTACCATCTTTCTTATATTTTTGTAATCTAATGATATTCAGGCGTTTCTTATTTCTTTTGTTTGTACTGTAACGATATGCAGGTATTTCTTGCATTTTTCTAATGTAATAATATTCAAATATATTTCACTTTTTATACTGTAATGATATTCACGTATTTCTTGCTTTTCTGTACTGTAATGATATTCACGTGTTCCTTGCTTTCCTGTACTGTAATGATATTCACGTGTTCCTTGCTTTCCTGTACTGTAATGATATTCAAGTATTTTTTTGCTTTCCTGTACTGTAATGATATTCACGTCTTTCTTGCTTTCCTGTACTGTAATGATATTTGCATGTTTCTTGCTTTTTTGTCTTCTAACGATATTCACATATTTCTTGCTTTCTTGTATTCTGACATTCACGTATTTCTTGTTTTCTTGTACTGTAATGATATTCACGTATTTCAGTGAATTGTCAAATGCCATTCTATGTCTTTTTGAACCCCCTATTTTTATTGCCCTTTCTTCTCATTAAAGTCTTCTCATTTTCTTCCAACCCTAGTGACCCGTTTGTTCTTCGTGGCATTATCTATTAGCTCGGAGAAAACGATTAAAAAAACAAAATGGACATGATGGGGAGAAGCAAAATGATAAGTAACAATGTGTGTCAGAACGGAGAAACGACTGATGCTAAATAGCCAAATTTTGCTTACAACTACAAAAGGCAGGACGTTGTGGAGGACTATGATCAACCATATCCTGAAAAGATATGGCATACTAAAGAATATATATATATATATATATATATATATATATATATATATATCATAATAATTCATCATGTCTAGACTTAGAATCTTCAACAGACTGTAGAAAAGCATTGAACGGCCATTCTCCTTTCGAATGACATCGTTTGCTGATGTCACGAAAGCGTCTCTTACTGCGTCCTATTTTGAGTTTCTATTTCCATTATGTTCCTCGTATCTTCTTTTCACACTGTCCAAATATATTTCTTTCCAATAGGGGTCGCTCTGGAGTCAACACTAAAACAAAACAATCAGCTAAAACCTGAAGGAGGAGTTTACTCCATCACCTGTAATGAATGTCACAAAAATACATAGGAGAAACCTCAAGGAACCTAAATAGAAGATTATATGCACACAAAAAGGATATCTACAAAACAATCCATCAAATTCTTTGGTTAACCACCGTAAGGGGACTAAGTAGAATTTTGACATAAAAGATGCTTCTCTGGTCAAAGGAAAAAAAAATCACTACGATATAAATGTCTAGAGAGTGCCTTGATGACAAGGCCATCTACAGTAAATTGGCGCCCTGGGTCGTGCAACATTTCATCATTCCTGGCAGATCTTCTGTTATCACAGTGTGAGAAAGTGATGGAAGTAAAAAGAAAAAAAGACCCGAAATGAATTCAGCCAGATATAAAATAATTAAAAAAATTCTAAAAACCCCAGCATCCTTCTGTAGTACGCATGTGTAGTTCTATCAACATAAAAAATTTAGTCCTGATGAAGACCTGAAGAACGAAACGCGTCACAAACAAACCTTTCTCCATTTTGTCATACAATTTTTCCCCCACTATATATATATATATATGTAGAAAAATCACGTGGTAGAGATAAACACTTAGTTGTGGAGCAAGCTAAGTGAACAATAATTCAACCTTTAGAAAGAGAGCTATTTATGTTGCCATAGAGCATCTCATTGTGCTAAAGTGGGATAGTCCATTGCTTGGGCTGTGATTGGCTGCTGGTACCTGAGTGGAGGTATTTCTATATAAATACCAGCTTGATTTATCTGTTAGTTTGCAGGGTTTGTATTAAGTTACAACCTGCTTTATTTTTGTCTGCCAGCTGGACGCTAGCTGGGACCTTTACACCGGTAAGTGCTGTTTATTATTGTTATTCTACAATATATATATATATATACACACACACACACACACACACACACACACACACACACACACACACACACACACACACACACACACACATGTGTGTGTGTGTGTGTGAGAGTAAATATAGAAAAATAGGAAAGAACCGTTAGGTGAATAATTTCTTTTTGCGTTTTTATTTTTAATAAGAGCCTAAATTATAATTACTTTTTAAAAATATGTTTCCATCGCTACATAAGAGATCTCATGTTTCATTAAAAAGAAGCTAAGTAAAAGCTCTATTTCATCCTCAAGCGAATTTTGGAATAACTAATCTTGAAATTTAAGGAGCTTTTAAAGCGATAGAATCATATTTTAGAACGTAATTATAATATATATATATATATATATATATATATATATATATATATATATAATTATTTATTAAAATATTATAACATAAATATGTTTACAAAATACAATAGATATATATATATATATATATATATATATATGTATATATATATTTTTGTATTTATGTTATAATTTTTCGAATAAATAATTAGATATATATATATGCATTGTATATATATATATATATATATATATATATATATATATATATATATATATATATTTATGCATATATATGCATATATGCATATGTACATATATTTCATTACATATATATATATATATATATATATATATATATATATATATATATATATAATTTTTTCACTATAAATGCTTGAATACCTACTAATACCCATGCATGTCATTAGGACAAACCATTACCAGTAAAAGAATATATTATCAATTTGCTTCTCTTTTGCAGTATTGTTCGATTTTTACGCTCTTTTATTGACAATTCCACACCAACTGTCGCAAAATCTCCACGCCATTGTAAAATAAATTACATTCATAATACAGTGACCCGAGCTGGTGCAGTTGTCGTCGACCAGCGTAGCAAGAACTTAACGAGAACAATACACGACATAGAAGAATTGGCTTTTTCCAAGGGGTTTTCTATATTACAGGCATCTTTTTTTTTTTCTTTTCTAACAAAGAATAAGTAAAGAAAGAATAAGAAAAGAAAAATGAACACCAATTGGTTGAACTTGTACGTACGTGGCTGCTTTGTTACTGATCCAAAGCTCCGGAAACAGACAAGTTAAGCATTTACCATTTTCTGTACAAGACCTTTCTCTTGCTCGGGACATAAAAAAGACTAGACGAGATATCTCGCGAGAAATTCCTTCCTTTCTTTAACTGCTGACGATATATAACACACACACACACACACACACACACACACACACACACAAAAAAAAAAATAATTACAATGATATTCACCCCATGCAAGTCCCAAGTGCCACTAGAGGCAGAGTGTTGAATAAGGAGACGGCTATAGAAGGAACCGGAAATCCACTCCTAAACAAGAAACGACGGATAAACCGCCATAAAGACGTATGAGGTGTGTGAACCGGGCGATAGACGAACTTATGTATTCCTGTTGTGGGGGAAAATGGTAAAAAATATTTAGGCGGAAATGTTAGAAGTACAGAATTGTGGACTTTAAAATCATCTGGAAACTCAATCGTAAACATGAAACAAGGGATAAGCTTCTGTTGCTGTTCAAAAAACGGAGGAGGGGTGTGAACCGGGCGATAGGCGAGCCTATCTACTCCTATTGAAAAAAGAAAAAATGATTCACTAGTATATAGAAGTCTCTCTATATCTTTGAAATAAGGTATTATGCATATTTACATTATTTATATGATTCGGACTGTTATTCTCATCTTCATTGCCCTATTCACAACGTTTCGGTCGTTGTACACTCCGGTCTTCTTCAGATGATTGGAATTTGGAACCGAACCCTTTATGATGTCTCAGGTATTTCCCTTTAACTTTAAGATGTTTGGTTCACCACTGCTGTAGCCTGGTATTGAACTCACAAGTCTTTGTGTCTTGTCACTGGATCTAACCGAAACATACCAATCTAATAGCACAATTAAGTTCAGACAGCAAGGAATAAAAGATCGTCAGAGCAGTTGCCGTGAAAATATTTGTCGGAAAGATGATAGCAGATCGTTTTGGAGGCTTTAAGAGTTGCAAGCTGTTGCTTGCCCCGGTTAACCACTGCCTGGAAGTCATTTTCATGAGCAGCTGCCAAAATTTACTTTGTCGAACCCATCATCAGACTTGCTATTAAAACAGGAGTAAATAGGTGCGGCATAAGCATATATACCTTGTTGGGAACGGATGATATCGGGAGGGTCGTGGACGGAGATAAGAAAACAATGTAAGTTTATTTAGTTCGACAGATCTACTACCTCTTGGTCTATTTAAGACGGTATTAAATAAGTGTATTATCATCATATATAGATAGCTGATTTTTTTTAGAAATGGCATTTATGATACCAACTGGGCTCTCTCGCCTTTGCTGGAAGCCAGTCTAGGAGAAAAAATTGAAACCCTCGTAAATAATAAACCAAACAGTTTTCTTTAGTTTTGTCCAGGATAAAGGGAATCTCTGGCTTCAAAACCAGCCTGCAAAGGGATGGGCTCTTGCTGTAGACACATACACTAAATGACACGAAAAGGTTACGGTTCTTGTGATTGTGATCGACAAGACAAAGCAATCGTAATATTGCCTATTTTTTTTAAGTTACAGTTAAAAAATGTAAAATAAATAATTCGGCTTTTGTCTTTTTGGTTTAAGACATAAATAATTAGTTTGGGTTGCATTCGTAAATCTCAAAGATATGGATTTTCGATAGGTTCTGCTCGTCGATGTACTAGTAGCTAGAGTAGTACACACCATCATAAAAGTAATCTAATGCAGGTAGATGGAGACTTATTAAAGTTAAAGACTTATTAAGTTCTTATTTCGAAGGCGATATGAGTAATTAGTAGTTTTTTTTTTACTTATTCTATTACATGATAATACATTTTTAATTCCTAAGATATACCAGGAATTTTCAACACAACCTGCCTATTCTTTCTTTCTTTCTTTCTTTCTTTCTTTCTTTCTTTGTGCGTTCTTTGGATTTTGTCTCTTTCTTTCCCTGTTTTTGTTCTTTCTTTTTCTTTTTTTCTTCGATTTAATTTTCTTTTTTTACTTCTTTCGCTGTTTGGTTTTCGTTCTCTCCCTCTTTTCCTTTTTTCATGTATTTTACATTATTTCTTTTGATTGGTTTCCTTTCTTTCTTTCTTTCTTTCTTTCTTTCTTTCTTTCTTTCTTAATGATCCAGGTTCAGTCTTTCTTTTTATGTTGTTTTTTTTATCTTTTTAAAGACCCACTTTTTTTCTTTCTTTCTTTCTTTCTTTCTTTCTTTCTTTCTTTCTTTCTTTCTTTGCTTTTTCTTTCTTTCGTTGCGCGTTGTTTGTTTGCTTGTTTCTTTCTTTAACTGTTTTTGTTGATTCTTTCTTTCTTCTTTCTATTTTTTTCTTTCTTCGGCTTTATTTTATTTTCGTTGTTTGTTTCTTTATTCTATTGCCAGTTTTCTTTCTTTCTTTCTTTCTTTCTTTCTTTCTTTCTTCTATGTTCGATATTTCTTTCTTTTTTATCCTTAGGTGCGTTCTTTCTTTCTTTCTTTCTTTCTTTCTTTCTTTCTTTCTTTCTTTCTTTTGTTGCTGGTTGTTTGTTTCTTTCTTTGCCAGTTTTTGTTCTTTCTTTCTTTTTTCTTTCTTTTTTACGATTTAATTTCCTTTTTACATATTTTTTCTTCGCACATTCTTCTTTCTCCCTTTCTTTTCTTTCTTTCTTTTTCATGCATTTTACATTCATCTCTTTATTTGATGACTTTTCTTTCTTTCTTTCTTTCTTTCTTTCTTTCTTTCTTTCTTTCTTTCTTTCTTTCTCCTTGATTTTTCTTGCTTTCTTTTTCCGTTTTTATTCTTCTTTTTTCTTCGATTTCATTTCCTTTTTCACATGATATTTCTTTCTTCGCTCACATTTCTTTCTCTCTCTCTATACTTTTTTTCGTGTATTTTTCATTCTTTCTTTTTTGTGTGACGCTCTTTCTTTCTTTCTTTCTTTATTTCTTTCTTTCTTTCTTTCTTTCTTTTTTGTCCGTTTTTCTTCTTTCTTTTTTTCCTCCAATTTAATTTCATTTCTTTTCCTTCGGATTTCTTTGTTTTGCTCTCTCTCTCTTCTTTTTCTTTTTTTCTTTATTCTTCATTTCTTTTGTTTGATATCTTCTCTTTTCTTTTTCTTTCTTTCTTTCTTTGAATTCTTCTCTCCGTCGTCTCTTACTTCTTTCAGAGAGCATTTCCTGTGAGTACACTTTATCTGCATTAGCTTTAACGATTGTCGATTTCTATACAAATATTCTCTTTTAATTCTTATTTGAATTATTCAAGAAAAAAAAACAAAAACCCAAATAAACGCCGAGATATCAAAAAAAAAAAAAATAAAATAAAATAAAAAAAAATAAAATAAAACAAAAACAACAACAACAAAAAACAACAAAAAAAAAAAGACAAAAAAAGAAAACAAAACAAAAACACTCAGGTTAAATGTCGTTGGTATTTTTAGCTTTTTTTTTTCTATTTCCTTCTCGAATACGTTTTTCATTCTTTACATATGTTTGACTTAGTTCGGCAAACAACAACATTTTCTCTATTACCATTTGGTCTTTTATTCCTTTCAGACCTTCGCATGCTTAGAAAAAAAAAAAAAAAAATAAAGTAACAGCCAGCAATTCCATCGTCGATTTTTTCTTTTTTCGCGCATAAAACACACCGAGTATGCATTGGTCAATAAATTTATTTTGTTTAATCTTCGATTGTTTGTTCAGGAATCAAATAGCATAAGTCTAGCCGTTTTTTATCCACTTGTTTTCCTATTTCTGCACATTGATTGGAAATATACTCAGCTAGTATGACACAAGGCTAGACCGAAAGGAGCGCTAAGATAAAATAAGACTACCTTATAGTATTCAATATTCTAAGCAAAGAACCAACATTTCCTACCAATCACTCCAAGAAATTACATTATTTACATTATTCGGACTATTGTCCTCATATTTGTCGCCATATTTATTACAAAGTTTCGGCCGTTGTACGCTCTGACCTTCTTCAAGTGGTTGGAATGTCGAACTGAACCTTTTATTTCGCTTACTGGGGTAGACTGTTCTAGTTCCACTGTGCTATGTGTCCTTGAGGACACATGGCAAAGTGGATGAAGGCGTTACTTAGATCCAGTGACAAGACCCAAAGAGTGCGAGTTCAATAGCTGGCTAAGGCAGTGGAGAACTTTCAGAGTGAAATTAACAGGAGATAACAGATAACTGACATCCATTAAACATGGCACGTGGAACTAGAACAGTCAACCCCAGTGAGTGAAACGTTCTTATCAATGTTTATCTTTTGATTGTCCCTGGAGTTCCCTCTTCTGCCAACCGTTGTAATAAATATGGCGACAAAAATGAGACAATAGTCCGAATAATGTAAATAGTGTACATAATACCTCATCTCAGAAATATAGACAGATACTGAAGGATCGGATAAATATGGCAACAAAGATGAGGACAATAGTCGGAATAATTTAAATAGTGTACATAATACCTCATCTCTGAAATATAGACAGATACTGAAGGATCGGATAAATATGGCAACAAAGATGAGGACAATAGTCCGAATAATATAAATAGTGTACATAAGACTTCATCTCAGAAATATAGACAGATACTGAAGGATCGGATAAATATGGCAACAAAGATGAGGACAATAGTCCGAATAATGTAAATAGTGTAAATAATACCTCATCTCAGAAATATAGACAGATACTGAAGGATCGGATAAATATGGCAACAAAGATGAGGACAATAGTCCGAATAATGTAAATAGTGTACATAATACCTCATCTCAGAAATATAGACAGATACTGAAGGATCAGATAAATATGGCAACAAATATGAGGACAATAGTCCGAATAATATAAATAGTGTACATAATACTTCATCTCAGAAATATAGACAGATACTGAAGGATCGGATAAATATGGCAACAAAGATGAGGACAATAGTCATAATAATGTAAATAGTGTACATAATACCTCATCTCAGAAATATAGACAGATACTGAAGGATCGGATAAATATGGTAACAAAGATGGGAACAATAGTCGGAATAATGTAAATAGTGTACATAATACCTCATCTCAGAAATATAGACAAATACTGAAGAATCGGATAAAGATGGCAACAAAGATGAGGACAATAGTCCGAATAATGTAAATAGTGTACATAATACCTCATCTCAGAAATATCGACAGATATTGAAGGATCGGATAAATATGGCAACAAAGATGAGGACAATAGTCCGAATAATATAAATAGTGTACATAATACTTCATCTCAGAAATATAGACAGATACTGAAGGATCGGATAAATATGGCAACAAAGATGAGGACAATAGTCCGAATAATATAAATAGTGTACATAATACTTCATCTCAGAAATATAGACAGATACTGAAGGATCGGATAAATATGGCAACAAAGATGAGGACAATAGTCGGAATAATTTAAATAGTGTACATAATACATCATCTCAGAAATATAGACAGATACTGAAGGATCGGATAAATATGGCAACAAATATGAGGACAATAGTCCGAATAATATAAATAGTGTACATAATACTTCATCTCAGAAATATAGACAGATACTGACGGATCGGATAAATATGGCAACAAAGATGAGGACAATAGTCCGAATAATGTAAATAGTGTACATAATACCTCATCTCAGAAATATAGACAGATACTGAAGGATCGGATAAATATGGCAACAAAGATGAGGACAATAGTCCGAATAATGTAAATAGTGTACATAATACCTCATCTCAGAAATATAGACAGATACTGAAGGATCGGATAACTATGGCAACAAAGATGAGGACAATAGTCCGAATAATGTAAATAGTGTCTATAATAACTCATCTCTGAAATATAGACAGATACTGAAGGATCGGATAAATATGGCAACAAAGATGAGGACAATAGTCCGAATAATGTAAATAGTGTACATAATACCTCATCTCAGAAATATAGACAGATACTGAAGGATCGGATAAATATGGCAACAAAGATGAGGACAATAGTCGGAATAATGTAAATAGTGTACATAATAACTCATCTCAGAAATATAGACAGATACTCGAGTTAAACCTTTCCAAATCACCTGGAATTGGAATAGCACCGAATCCATCATGAAAACACAGGATGTGGAATTAGTAAATTCTAAACAGTGGGTTGTGTTAGGGATAGTTTCGCATAATACCGCACGTTACTACCTAACCCAAATACTAACCTAAAAATTTGAGACATGTTTTTAACTATTGATCTACCAATAGACCCATACTTTTCTTTTTCAAAATCCGAATTATTTTTGTGTCTTTTATTTTGTCTTCGTTATCTATCATCTACATAAAGGAAATAAATTCAGCTGGCATCTCGTCTACAATCACTTTCTCACAGATGTGTCGTGTGTTCCCTCTGTGTTTTGTACAAATATTTTCTCGGCAACTACTCCGAGGAGCTACTTTCACTGGTTACCAAATTGCATGAATTTAAGCGTGCTACTAGGTTGGCATCTAGGTCGCACTCTTTCATCTCGAAATGGTTAAATGTAGCTGTGTCTTCTACACTTCTTATCTCGCACTTCCCGTCTATGGAACTCACTTCCTCTTACTGGCTCCCCTAATAACTATAATCTTTAAATATTCAAATATAATGTCAATCGACATCTTCTGATGCCCTGAGCTTGTTCCCCGGCCTTCACTTTATCCTTTCTTCAAATATGCCTCTTCATCCCTTGCGTGCTGGTGGCACTCCCGTCTTGCTTGGGGTGAAATGCTTAAAAAAAAAAAAATGATCAAAAATTAAATTTTGGAGAGTGACTTCTCTTCTTATTACCAAGTTGGTCCATTGAACCCATATTTCAAATTTTTAATTAAATAAAAAATATCGTCCAATCTGAATAGGTGTCAGGTAATTTTTCTCCCTGGAATCGATCCTTCAAATCTACAAATCAACCATTCGCCCTTGCATGTAGTATTGATACCATATATGGTCTGGAGAGCCCTCTGTTTGCCTCGGGGTTCTTGATAAGATCTAGAGACGGATATGCAATGTAATTGTCCCTATTTCTGGCATCTCGCCTGCAGTCGCTCTCTCACAGACGTGAATATCGTCGCCTCTATCTATTTTTTAAAATACTTTCACGGTAACTGCTCCGATGAGTTGCTTTCACTGGTTCCCAGACTTCATGAATTCAAGCGCCCTACGAGGCTGGCATCCCGCTCTCACCCTTTCACTGTTGAAACTATTAAATGTAGCCGTCTCTTCTATTCCAATAGCTTCATATCTCACACCTCTCACCTGTGGAACTCCCTTCCCTATTCCTGTTTCCCTGATAGCTATAATCTCCAACTATTAAGTCAAATGTAATGTCAATCGACATCTCAGTTGTCTTGATCTATCCACTATCCTTCTCCTCATCCTTTCCTCTATCAGTCCTATCTGATCTTGCTCCAAATCTTCTGTAACCGTTTTTGCGTCCTAGTGGCTTCCCGCCTTGCTTGGGGTGAAAAGCTTAAAAAAAATTTTTTTTTCCATAGAATTCAAAAATATTATTGCTGGTAATTTTATGGCATATCAACTCCTGATTTTCATTTAATGCTGAAAATTAATTTTTTTGGAGCATTAGTAATTATTTTTTCAAAATCTAATATTTGATAATATCATTTTTTTTAAAAAATCTATTGCATTGGAAATATTTTTTAATTTATAAAAATCTATACTGGTACTTCATGAATTTAAGCGCCCTACAAGACTGGCATCCTTTCTTTTTTTGTCGATTTTACTCAAATGTAGCCATCTCT